TAGCAGCAGCATTGACTATCAGCATTAAATATAATAATATTAACGAATAAATTAATATAAAATTCGATATAACAAATATTTCGGATATTCACTAAAGCGACTATGTGATTGTTGACATTCACCGGTGAGAGTCAGAAATAAGGGTATTTAGCAAATATTTCGGACATACACCAAGCGACTACGTGAATGTTGACATTCACCGGTGAATGTAGACATTCTCCAGATTTCGGTGTTTCACCGTAACATATACATAATATCTTTATATAATAGTGAGGTTAAAAATTAATAAACTAGGTGGGTAGTATAACACTTCACGTTTGGAAATTATTACCTACGTAAGTTTAAAAAAAAAACCAGCTTTAGGTTGAGCCATATAAGCCTGAAGTATAAAATGTCGCATCTTAGGACGATAAATTAATAATTCTAAGAATACAAAAATATATACCTGAGGTTACGAAATAATAACCTAAGGTTGAACATGGAACACCTCACGTTAATAAAAAAATAACCTTTCCAAGTGTCAAAAAATACACTTGAGGTTGATTTATAATAACCAAAAGTGTAAAATGGCACACCTTAGGTATGTAAATAAATACATCAATAACTATATAAATCTATACCTGAGGTTGAAAAATAATTACCTGAAGTTGAATATAATACACCTCAAATTAGTAAAAACTCACCTATCCAACTGTCAAAAAATACACCTGAAGTAGATTTATAACAACCTGAAGTGTTAAATGAAACAGCTTAGGTTGTTGAATAAATACTTCCACAAGTGTTAAAAAATATACTTCAGGTTGAATTACTACCAATAAAGAAGTAAATATCTACCTCTCCACAGATGTTAAATTAAACACCTCAGGTTGATACATATATACCTTTGGAGGTATATTTAAGGTATGTTTGAGGTTAATTTTGAGGTATTCATTTGCAAACAAACGACGTATTTAAATAACAACGTCCCTTATACCTTTGAAAAATACCTCACTTAATACACCTCACTTTATATTAAGTGAAAAATACCTCACTTTATACCTTTGAAAAATACCTCACTATTTTTTCGTAAGGGTTGATCCATTCGAATTCTTCCTCTGCTTGCACTGACCTCAGTGATGACATAAAAAATCCTTCATGATAAACAAATCAGAGGTTAGAATCCCCTAGCTGTCGTGCTAACGATGAGAGGTTTCCGTGTTTTTCCTCTTTATTTTACACAAATGGAGTTAGTTGTATCAAAAGTCCTCCGCGAAAGCTAATTTGCTTAATATGTAATCCAGAAATTTCTTTGCCTTCAGGGTTGGGTTCAAAATTACAAGGGCATAGAGTTGAACATAGCATGCAGAGTTGAGGAGAGTCGTGCAGCCATGAAATTGGTCTCATGTTTAACACCGGTAATAAAATTAAAAAAAATTTGTCTGATTGATTGGGGGTAAGTTGAGAATAATAATGCATAAACATTTGAAGAGATAATCGATGAAAGTGGTATCTAAGGTGTTCCCTCTTTAGTTTCGCAGTCAAATGTAATTGTCATGCATTATGCTTTTCTCAGTACATAAAATATTTATAAGGTTATTCTAAATAAACTTATTGTATACAATTACGTCTTTTCATCATTCACAATAATTATTAAAATTTCCTTTTTGTATTTTACTTTTATATAAAAGAATGAAGACATTCGTCACGCGATTATCATTAAATCATGTCATTTTACCAAGCTCTTTAAGTAGAGGACCAACTGCGCATGATAGTCACAAATTTAAAAAACCAATAATGAGGTAAGGGACTTATATAAGTCTTTATAAGCACCTGTGAAATATCATCATAAAAACAGATAATATTTTTATCAGATCAATAGATCGATAACTTAGTATTCAGAGGGAGTGAGAAGAAAAGTACAGTACCTTGTTTGTTTCCATTGAATAACTATGCAACAAATTCTCTTTTTAACATTAATAGTAGTAACTATTGGCTTAGTTACAGCACAACGAGTAAGTGGAGGTGCTTGCCCTAATGTGCCAGTTAAACAAAATTTTGATGTCAGCAAGGTTAGTTATTTTTCTAATGTAATTTCTTTCGCTAATTTTATTCTATTTTATTCAATCCAGATGAAAAGGAAAAAAGCATTCAGAAATGAAAGACGTTAAATGTTTTAAAAATATTTTAAAAAATTTTAATTCCCTTAAATTTTTAAAAGAAAAATGTACAAGAAATAAACAAAAATTTTGATTACCTGAAACTAAACTATTTCTTGAGTAAGACATAAGGCAACCAAAAACGCACTAAAAAGATAGTCTGTAAATTATTGATGAAAACAGAAGTTTAGTTTGATTGTTCTTACCATAATTACAGTATGTAGTTTTGTTATTAAACGAAATACTTAATGTGATATTTCAATTAAACAATTTATTATTTACCAGTTTTATGTGGCCTGGACTAAAAACTACCAACTGCTTCATTCTATTAATAAATTTTATGAAAATATCACACTTGAGCTCTATATTTTAAATAAAAATTGTTGCAATTAATATCCTAAACGTACTTCTTCCAGACTTATACCAAGACATATAATTCCGAGACGTAATTCAATCCAGTTGAAAGAGAAAAAGCTTTAAAATGAAATAAAAAAAAGGCGGTAAATATTTCAAAAACTTTCTTTCCGAACTTTAATTTACATAATTTTAAAAAAAGTTTTTGAAGAAATCGACACAAATTTTGATTATCTTAAACTAAATTATTTTCTGAGCATGAAAAATATAATCAGTAAATTATTGATAGAAATAGTATCTCAGTTTAAATACACTACTGACCATTGAAATTGCTACACCAGGAAGGAGACACACCACGAACGGGAAATTTGCAAGACGAATAAAGCATGTTGTGGTATGCAAATTATTAGCTTATCAGCGCATCATGCAAAGCAGGCGGTGGTATCGACACCTACAATGTGCATAAAGGAAGAGAGTTGACAGTAAGTCTGTCATACAGAAATTGAATTTCCGCATTGTTCTTAGGTAAAAAAGTTTTTGTTATGCCACGTGCAAGAAGGAGAAATGCCTACCAGCACGTGTCTGAGTTTGATCGAGGTCGAATTGTGGCCTATCAGGATTGCAGTTTACCATACCAAAGTATTGCTGCTCACATCGGTCGTGATTCCATGACTGTTAGCAGAATATGGAATCAATGGGTTCATGACGGTTATATGGAACGCAGTGCGGGATCTCAGCGTCCCCCCATCACCATCAGCCGAGAAGACAAGGATCGTACAGCTGCGTCACGAACCCTGAGACAACAAGTGTTGAAGCAAGACAACAGTGGACAACAAAAGGAAGCAAAGCAAGACAAGACAACAGCAAGACAACAAAAGGAAGCAAGACAACAAGTGTCTGCACAGACAGTTCGACGATGTTAACAGCAGCATTGACTATCAGCAGGGGGACCATGGTTTCGGCTATCCTTGATGCTGCATCACAGACAGGAGCACCTCCATAATGCGTGATCAACGACGAAACGCGGGAATGGCCCGACGTCGCCTTTTCAGACGAATCCAGGTTCTGTATACAGCATCATGATGGCCGCATCCATGTTTGGCGACATCGTGGAGAACGCCCATTGGCAGCTTGCATCCGACTGGCCTTCACCTGGTACCAATGGTATGGGGTACCATTGAATACACGTCTCGATCACCTCTTGTTCGCATTGCCGGCACTTTGAACAGTAGCCATAGATATTTCTAATGAGTTAGCGCCAGTTGTTCTGTCTTATCTTCGAGGCCTCCATAACTCTACGTTTCAGCAGCACAATGCATGACCCCATGTTGTTCCTGACCATTCGTCAGTCACAACGGTAGATATATTGTGGCTTAATGTAGAAGCTGCATGAAATGCTGTGCCCGTCCATGCTATCTAATCTCTGTTCGACTCGATGCCCAGGAGAATAACTGCTGTTATTGATGCCAGGGGAGGCTGCTCTGAGTACTGATTCCTTAGGATCTATGCATCTATATGTCCTGAAAAATTAATCACTTCTTCTTCCAACTATAGTGTATGTGCCCAATAAATATCATTCTGTAATTTGCACTCTTTCCTGGTGTAGACATTTTACTGGCCGGTAGTGTAGGTTATAATAATTTTACTATGATGTCATATTTAAACCCTGTATTTTAAATAACAACTGTTGCAATTAATATCCAAGACGTGTTGCTTTTTTTAATATTTTGTACAGAGAGTTAGAAATTAAACTGTCTTAAATTAAACTGAAATTTTTGAAGTTATACTTCTTATGCGACTTCCAACAAGGTTGCGTTAAACGTTTAACGCTACATTTTTATTGACCGGGAAATCACGTGGTAGGATCCAGTTTTCCCTCATTCATTCCCATATTGTTTTGGTTCTCACTAGCATAAAAATAATAAAAATCATAAAAGTATTGTTTTTCTATAAATATTTTTTTAGTTTGTTTTGATACACATGTAATTCAATAGGGTAGTATTTTTTATTTTCAAATTTAGTGGATAACAATTGTAAAAAAATGAGTGAAAACAATCCCACGGACAATGCGACGGATTTAAGGTTATGTCAAGGTACGTCTCTTGTGAATATCAATTGATTGTTAGGTTTTCTCTTCTGAAATTACATTATGACGCATTCACATACATTATTAATACAAATACTACATTTTCCAGGGCGAGACGATGAGGCAACCACAAGCACTTCCACTGGTTCAAGAGGTCCACGAGGGAAAAATACACAATATTACCGTGATTGCAGAGCACGGAAGCGAGCGGAGCAGAAAAAAGAGTCGTTGAATAGAACTAGTGATCCTTCAACGACTGCTGATTCCTCTACAATTAACGTCACAGGTTGCGAAGTTTAACTTCTTCCGCGCAGAGGGACACCACACACTATTTTTTTTTTTTAAATTCCTGCGTAAAAAGGTTATATTTTATTTTCGAAAATGCAAAGTACGTAATTGAATTCAGGAACGTGATTGAAATGACCACAAAAAAAAAAACTTTCAAAATCTACAGTTTCGTAAAAATTTTCAAAAAAAAATAAATTACATAATCTTGCAACTACATGTATTAGAATTACATTTGAATGCAATTAAATCAATAAATAAATAACTTTTTTTTCCTGAAATTTCCAAAAGCTACTATTAAATCTAATTTAATTTAACAGATGTAAAGAATGAGCTAAAAACTAGATATACATTGATTTTTGCAAAATTTAAATGAAGTGAGCTCTCTGAAGTTATGGCAATTATCTTTTATGGATACGGTGCTATATTTAACAAATTCTCCAGATTTTGGAAATATTTATCACTGATAAAAATAAGAAAACAATAGCAACAAATGAAATGAGGATTTAAAAATAAATCATATTATATTTGCCGGAGGAATGAGGATTTTAAAATGAATTAATTATATTAATATTTGTCGAAAAAAATAATGTCTGTGAGCTGAAAGTACATATTCATTATAGTTTTATTAATTCGTTCGATTTCATATGGGAGATGGCAGAACTTTAGCAATCAAAATTTCGACCTCTTTTCAACTAACTAAACACTTTTATGTTAAAATATATAGATATTATGGTCGAAAAAATAATACACTTTTCATAAATTTAATTGTTCGATACACACGCTTCTTAAAAAACCTTAATAAATTAACAAACTGACACTTTCCTTACAAATTAAAGATTTCACCGAGAGCGAAAACACTAAATTGAAAACTTATTAATATTCATTTGAGTTAATTTTTGGAATAGTTGCGCTTTAATTTCAGGGATTATTCGAAACTTCTGCTCTAACCACTTCTAACATACTTTTTCTTGATAATATTAATCAATTTCACTTTGTTTCTATTTTTTAGAGAACAATCATAATAAAAATGTGTGGCTATACTTCTGCAGTTTCCTATTTTTGCCCTTTATAATTTCTGATGAAATTACGGTAAAAAGTACTGGTACCCTGAGTAAATTTATTTTACCGTAAAACTCCTTATATGGTAAAATACATTTTTACCGTAAAACACAAAACTTTATACCTTTATTTTTAAAGTAATGTACATTTAAATACAGTGATTCAGTGATTTTACTGTAAATATTACTGCAAAAATTAAGGGATTTTAGATTTTTTGTAACGCTATTCAGAAAACGAAATATTAGATTTAAGAATGGATTTTAGGATAAAAAGTACCAACCCTCTAAGTGCATATAGTTTTCACCGTAATTTGATCCGGAATTTTTTTTTTTAAGTGTAGGGCCATAAGAGCGGGGTCATGCACCGGCATTGTTTTACTTTTGCATTACTTCACTTTTATTATAATCGAATATCATAATATATATCGTATGTAACAGCTTTTAGTGCCTTTCAAATACTGTTATTTTGTTAATTAATTGTGTTATTTATAGGTTTAAATTAAACAACTAGTTTTGAATATTTGCTCGGTATTTTCATGCGAAAAATATATTAATTAAAAATTTTTGTACTTTAGTAAAGTTTATTGAAATATATTTATGATTGAAAGAAATAATCACTGATAAAAAAAACAATTACATTTTAAGGAGTGTGACTAGTTGATATCTTTTTTCTTTATAATTATAACAAGTGGCAAAATAAATTTTACAAAAGATTTGATTATTTGTTATTATCTTTTTTTCTTAAGCAAAAATGTCTTTTGCAAATTTGTAAACGTCATAAACTGTACTATTTCACTTTTTAAACAAATTGCATTAGATTCCCGAATTAAACGTTTAGTCTAGTTAAATTTATCAGAATTTGAATACGAGACATGATGCAATATTATTTACATTGTAATTTTTAACTTGATTCTTTATAGTATGCTGGTGTATGGTACGAACTTGAGAAATATCCAGTGCCATTTCAAGCTGGACTAAAATGCAATACAGCAAGCTACACAGCTAAAGGTGACTACCTTGTAGTGGTAAACTATGGAATAAACAAAAGGTAACCAAAATAAAAAATTTATTTAGCTCCCGATAGAATCCAATGCAGCAAACTGCACAGCTAAGGGTGACTACATTGTAGTGGTAAACTCAGGAGTAAACAAAAGATTACCAAAATAAAAATTTTATTTAGTTCCCCATGAAATCATATACAGCAAACAACACAGCTAAATGTGACTACATTACAGTGGTAAACTCAGGAATAAATAAATAANAGCAATGGCGGACAACATCCAACAGAACATTAAAATCAGCCAAGATTTTGATTTTAACATTAAACATAGCTTCTTCATTAAACATAGCACTCTTCGTTTAGCTCAGCTGTAATGTGTTTTATCTTGGTCAAAGTCATTTTTTGTTCTCTAAAACACTGGTCGATAATAACAAAATCAATACAAATTCAAAATAAATATTTGTTTACGTTATTAACGCATGCGCAATGAGAGATAATCTCTGCGTTGAACCGACTGCTCACGCTGAGCTAACACAAAAGTATTTCTTTGGCGTCATCTCTACATCAACTTTCCGCTGACGCCCAGATAAGGCGCTAGTTCTAAGAAACCAGGTCTTGAGCTAACAAACCAGTATTTTGTTGGTGCCAGCCGGACGTTGACGTCCCGCTGACGCCCAGATAAAGCGCTTGTCCTAAGAAACCAGACCTTAAGGGTGACTACATTGTAGTGGTAAACTCAGGAGTAAACACAAAAGATTGCCAAAATAAAAATTCTATTTAGTTCCCCATGAAATCCAATACAGCAAACAACACAGCTAAATGTGACTACATTGCAGTGGTAAACTCAGGAACATATATATATATATATATATATATATATATATATATATTTGTTTACGTTATTAACGCATGCGCAATGAGAGATAATGTCTGCGTTGGAC